GAAGGCCCAGCACACTCAAAGACAACGAAAAACAGCGGAAGACTAGGGCGACGACCACAGGCGCTTGACGGCAGGCACGAGCTAGACACCAAAGCCTTCATCTTCCAGGAACTCCTCATCTGGGCTTGGGAAAATTAAGCAAGACTGAGTACAACCACCGTACTCAACAAGACACACCCACAAATGCAGAATAAATGCAAGGGAGTACAAGGGAATTATAATATAAAGGGTTAGGGTTGCAGTAAACAGCATTTAAAGACATTTAGTTGCTCAAAGCTACTTTGTAAACGCGATCCTAGAACGCTACAAAGTTATTAATCAAGGCCGTGAACCCACACGAACCTGCCTTAACCCAAGGCCTATGATGATTCAGACCGAACTGGCAACCCGACCCTGGGTCCCAGCTCGTCCTAAGCCAACCCAGGCCAACCATTCCGCATTTTAGTTGTTAAGCAGGTTTTAAGAATTAAAACGCTAACTTGGGTACATTGCTCGGCTTGCCCATAACCGAGGGCTCGGCTATTCGAATAGATTATACTCTGATCAGAGGTGTACATCTTTACCCACAAGACACATCTTCCTCACGTGTAACCACGTGCCACATACCACCACGGTATACGGACGGAAGACGTGACATAGTTTCCAACCCATCCTAGCCTTAGACAAGAGTACCGACCCAATCCCACCTACGGCCGGGATACCCGGGACAGGCAGGCAGAACTGAGCCCCTAGCAGCAGGGCACCAACCCTCTGCCGTATGACATCTCGACTACCGGGCCGCAGCTCGTGTAGCCTTCATTTGCCCTGGAGAATGTCCATCGACGCCCGACTTCATCCATCTCCAATCCGTGTACTTTTGTTTATGACTAGACTGAGTCACAAACTAAGCCTTACCCATTAGACATGTGGAAGTACGGTAGTGCTTTGCAACAGAGGCCCGAAGACCGGTCCTTAAACGGCCGAGGTGCTACCATCAAAACCATGCACCCCGAGCCCAGCCTAAAACCATTTTAGGGGGTTTTGAATAGAGGGGGCGGTGTGAAGCCAATTCCACAATAATCCAACAATTCCAGAGTGTCCAAGTGATATGAATATTTCCCAAAGTCTATAGTTGTAAAACCACCTAAGGTTACCTAATTAGATTGCGAAGCATCTACCTAAAATTATACTAGGGATACCATGAGTAGAGTGTCCACTAGTTGAGGTTTTGTTTGTCTAGGGTGAACAAGGTAATAATAATAACAATAACAATAATAATATGGTCATAACAAAGGTAAATAGGCATGGCTAAGTAAAACAGTGATAACGCGGGAATTTAAATAAAGCGATAATGCAATAATTTAAATCAACATAATTTTATAAACTGGGATTCAATATGATCAAGATGATGTGTCTTGCCTTGCTCGTTTTCCCACTCGACGGCTTCGACTTCCACGAAGAGCGGATCTTCCGAAGCTGCAGCGTCTACACGACCAACGGAAAAGAAAAAGGCTTTAACACTAAATAACTCCACATAACAGCAGAAACAAAGCACAAAAATGGGTTCTTTACATCTTAAGGAAAAATTAGAGACTTGAACGGTCCAATTCCGAGTTCAAATGGCCAAGATATGGCCATTTGAAGTTTATATGCTCTTTAAATGGATATTTGCGAATTTCTTCATTTAATTTTCAATTAAAAATCCTATTTATTGCGTCAGCCGAGGGAGCGGGCGCGCGGACCGGGTCCACGGGAAGTGGGGCCCACGCGTCAGCCCCACGGTCCACGGTGGACCGGGCGCACGCGGCTGGCGGCGGTCGGCGCCGTGGGTCCCGCGCGTCAGCCGCACCCGCGGGCGCGGGCGGCTGACGGCCGGGCCCACTTGGCAGCCGCGAGGGCGCGCCCGAGGGCGGCCTCGCCGGCGCGGCCGACGGGAGCGGCGCGCCCGCGCCCCGATGGTCACCGCCGGCGACCACCGGCGCGGCGGAGCGGCGCCCGAGAGAGAGGAGGGAAGGGGGAAGGCGAACGGCGGTCCTCGGCTCACCCCGGGACAACGACGACGACGAGAACGGCGGCCGGAGTGGAGGAAAGCGGCGGCGTGGCTCGGGATGACGATGACGACGGTGCTCCGGCGGTCGGCGGGCGAAGCGGAGCGGCGGACGGGGTCGGCAACCACTCGGCGAAGCGGATGGAGGTGTCGCCGAGTAAGGAGGAAGACCGGAGCGGCGGCGGCGGCGGAACGGAGCTCGGCAGCGACGGCGGAGAGAGAGGAGCACGGCGCGAGCACGATGCCGACGGCGAGAGCGAGCGGCGAGCGGCGGAAACGGAAGAGCGGAGCTCGGGGAGCAATTATATAGCACCGAGAGGGGGAGAACGCGGCCGGAGAGGAAGGAAACGGGCGCGGGGATCTCGGGCTCCATAGATGTCGCCGGCGAGGATTACGGGATGAATCCGGACGGATCCGAGGGAGAGAGAGAGGGGAAATCGGGGGAAACGGGAGAGGGGATCGCGGGGAATGATTCCCCTCTCTTTAATGCGCGCGGGGACGGCGGGATGCGGCGCAATCCGCGGCGGCGGCGGCGCTAGGGCACGGGCGCGGCGGAGGACGCGGCGGGAGGAAGGCGATGACAGGTGGGTCCCACCCGTCAGCGAGAGCGGCGGGCGGGCCCGCCTGTCAGCGGCGCGCGCGCGCGGGGAGGCCGATGGGCCGCGGGGGAAGAGAGAGAGAGAGGGAGGGACTGGGCCGAGCCGGCCCAAGAAGGAGGGGGGGGAAAGAGGACTTCTTTTAGGGTTTTCTTTTTATAAAACCTTTTTAACTTTGTTTGTTTCTTTTCAATTATTATTTGTGCTCTGAAAATTCCACTAAAATTTGTTTAAGCATTTTAGGCTTTTAGGAAATATACAAAAATCCTCCAAGCCTCATTTGACTTTTATCTTTGCACATTTTAATTGTTGGAGGCTTTCACATGAATTTTAATTATTCTTTGCACAATTTCGAGGATGAATTTTAGAGTCGATTTGGGACGCGACATATAGTTAGATTTTTCTTGAAGAGAAAATTCAAAAATTATAACTTTGCTATATTTTTATATTAGTAAGAGTAAATTTCACAAAACAAATATATTCTTTGATCAAACTATTGTAAAACTATATATGTAAGGTATTGTATCACAAAATAATAGATTTAACAATAAAGTTATCACAAAACTATAAATTTAGAGCCAAGTATGGCAAAACTACAGATTTAGTAACAAAATTATCCCAAAATACAAGTTTAGCACCAATTCAATTGCAAAACTATAATGTTTATTATAGCTCCAAAATAATACTAGTAGTGGTAGGGATTTAAACTCTATAATATGTAGTTTTGTGCTACCTTCAGTACTAAATCTCTAGTTTTGTGATGTTTAGCGGGTGAATAGCTAATATGGTCCCCAAAGTTTCGCTTCAGGCTCAGTTTAGTCCTTGAGATTTCAAATCGTCCAAACAAGTCCTTCAAATTAATCATTTGGGTTAATATAGTTCTTGGACCCAAAAAATGCCATGTGAGCATGCCAAGTCATCCTCGCATGCAGCAGTTTGAATGAAATGACCATTCCACCTTATATACCATATAGCAAAGAAAGAAAAAAAGATAAATGTTTCACACGTGTAGTATCGTTTTAGAATTGTAACTTACGATTGTTGTAGCCAAGCACTAATCGTGATCGTGTAAATTCCTTTGTCGGCCACCCATCCGCAATAATGATGGGCTTGTTATTTTTTTGTTTGTCTTTTCTTTCTTTTCTATATGGCATATAAGGGTAGAATTGTCATTTTATTCATACCGCTGCGTGCAAGAATGATTTGGCATACTCAAGTGGCATTTTTTATGGGTCAAAGGACTATATTTGCCCAAATGATTAATTTGGAGAACTTGTTTGGACAATTTGAAACATCGATAACTAAACTGAGCCCGAAGTGAAACTTCAGGGACCGTATTAGCTATTCACCCATGTTTAGCTTTAAATCTATAGTTGTATAATATACCATCTTAAATTTGTAGTTTTCTGATAGTTTAGTTAAAATACCCGTAGCTTTATAAAATTTACTCTATTAGTAATTAGTAATAGAAGTAATCAAACAAATGCATCGTTGACCTAAAATGGGTTACCTAAAATGCCACTTATTTGTGCCCGGAGGAGTACATACTAGAAAGATACTAAATGATATTTGAGGTGTGGTTGACAAGATGCCAGGGAACAAAGAATAGCCTTGCACAATCCAACGAGTTTTGTGGTGATTAAAACAACAATCTTCACAAAACTTATATTTAAAACATGACCTAAAACTTATTAGGGCATGCTCAATGTATATGGACTACATTGATATTATGGTGGATCCCACTAAAATATATTATCATGTGCACAATATATATGGTAAGACCGTAAGAGTGGATATTAAGGTGGACCCCACAAACCCAAGATTAGTCATTGAGAGAGGGAGAGAGAGTATCACTACCATGAGAGAGGAAAGAGCAATATATTTTTTTATTCCTTGTGGGTGGTCTTTATACATATGGCTAGCTCAAACAAATGTCATCTATAAAGACTACTCTCACAATGTATAAGGTTCACTTTAGAGGCTTAAGACCCACCCTTATGTTCACATTGTGGCTGCCCTTATGTGTGAAAACCCATTTGTTCGAGGTGATATTAGCTTGTGGGGACCGAATCATGATGGTTTATATTTTTTTTTTTGAGAAATGATGGTTTATATCTGATTGTGCACAAGAGTCTTAAATTCATCTCACGTCATATGCTAGTGAGGACCTCACCCCTAAAAGAGCTTTGTGGTAAGGTATGTCTTCTTAATAAGTGAAGCTTGAAGAGCAGGCAACGGGATCCTACTTTATTAGAAACATATAAAAATATATCGCTATATCACTATTCCCTCCGTTTTTTTTAAAAAAAAACCCTTCTGACCATGTATCCACAAGTTAGTTTTTTTTAAAAAAAAAATCATAGTACCATTACCATTCATTCGAACAATTAACATAACCAATTAATATTGCATATGACAATTATAGACTTCATGATGTGTACAAATCGAACACTTTACTAATTGCACCAATTCATGAGCATTACGCGCCCCACATCCTCCAAATGCAAGCTAACATACTTTACGGTTCGCACGCAAGAATACATTGCAATTATTTTTATCTCACTCTGAATTTCATGATGAATAATCACATTTCAGCCGATAACTTTCTTATGAAGCTGATTACATGCTCACTAACTTCCTTTGGCTTTTCTTCACTGATGAAGTGGCCGACACCCTTCATGACCACGACATCATCCAGCAGCGGTACATACTTTTTGAAGCCACCTTTGTGAATAAAATCCTGAATGCCTGGAGTATGATATGTCAAATCCAAGTCTCCAACAATGAACTTCACTGGCACCTTTATCTCAGCTCCAGTCCAGGGTGCTGTTAGCTCCCATGTCCTTAAAAAAACAGAAAATAAAATATGTTACTCCACTCCCTTCTGTTGCAATGCTAGCATGCAACGATTATACAATTAATTATATTTGCAATGTATCAAAGAATTAAATTATATAAATCAAACACTTAAATAATTAATTGGCGTAGTTTTTTTTTCTAATAATGAAAACGGGGCTCGTTTGGATTGAAGCCAATTTTCATTCTACCAAAATTTTAGCAACATCAAGTATTGTGAAATGAATGTTTGTTTTGCTACCAATTTTTACCTATACTAGTTATAATTTCATACTATCAAATTTGATAGTGTCAAAATGCCAAGGTTTGGGACTAAAATTTTACTTGGGGAAAAATTGACTCCAAATCAAAGCGTTTATATCCCTAGCCTCTGCCCTACGACACAGCCAAATCGAACATCTTTTGAACAAAGCCTGATAATATATTTCCAACAAGTAGTAGGGGATATGGCTTACTTGTTGAGGGCGCGGTAGTAGTTCAATCCTCCGGTGAAATTAGTCTTGTCGAACTTGCTCGCGTAGTACTTGATGTCCTCCTCTGTTATCCAGCTCGGCAATGGCACCTCGTCGTCCGGCGACCCCCACCCGCTCTTTGGCATCATCAGCGGGCCAGGAGTCCGGTAAGCCAAGAACTTCCTCAGCACCAGCTCCGTGCCGAGCCGTGCGAACTCAGCTTCGATCGCTCCAGGCTCCTGCAAATCAATCGATCGGTCAAGCTATCTGCGATTTATGGAAAGATCGCAAGGTGTTTGTTGTATTGTGTACCTGGATCCGGCAGATGTAGTAGTCGTCGCCGTAGAGCGCCCTCAGGCCGTCGACGGGCCTCCTCGCGGGGCTCCGTGGGGTGAACGCGACACTGAGGGAGACGAGCGCCCTCACCCTGTCGGGGCGGAACAGGCACAGGTTCCACGCCGTGAGCGCGCCCCAGTCGTGCGCCACCACGAACACCGGCTTCCCCGCGCCGACCACGGCGTCGAGGAGCGCCACCAGGTCGCCCACGACGTGCATCGCCGTGTACTGCAGCTCGGCGGCGGGCGCGTCGGAGTCGCCGTACCCGCGCAGGTCGGGCGCCACGGCGCGGTACCCTGCGTCGGCGAGCGCGCGCATCTGGTGGCGCCAGGCGTACCACACCTGCGGGAACCCGTGGAGGAGCAGCACCGGGGGCGCGCCGGGCGGGCCGGCCTCCGCGACGTGCATCCGCAGGCCGTTGGCGTCGACGGTGCGGTGGGTGATGACGGCCACCTCGTTATCGGCGGCGGCGGCCATCGCGTCGTCTTTCTTGGCGTCGGAGTCGGCGGGGGGATGAGGAGGGGACGACGGCGCGCCGAGGCAGCAGGTGGGGGAGCAGAGCTCGTGGAGCCAGGATATCACGGGCATGAATGGTGTGACAGAGCAGGTGCAGTCAGTGAGGAAGAGGTTAATTATGGTTACTGGTGTGGTGGGTCGCTCGCTCAGGGGTTTGTGGGATGAGGACGAATGGACACGAGGACGAGGTGGGTTTTATTGGGCGATAGCATGTGGGAACTCGACAACACGCAAAGCCAACGTGCCGCGACCGAACGCATCCGGTACAGTTGGCGAGGAAGCCGCGTCACCCGCGTCCATGGAAGCGTCGTGTTTAGCAAGCCAATATTCAGCACATATGCAGCGTGGCAAGATTTTTTTTTTACATTTTAGACATTTTTGAAAATTTGTTTAACAAATAGAACTTACCGCAAGTCTGGATCTCTAGGTTGATGCCGAACTAGTTCAAATCCATCGGGATACAGTGGTACACAACTATATTAATTTTAATTGTATCTAGTTTTCAGGCTTCTAAAAGTACCAATAAGTTTTATTCACTTTGGATGGTCTAGGTCTCGCCAAAATTCATGATGTCATGTGACTTTTCTCAGCAATTTTCTTGCGCGCCTCTGCTCCTTGTGTTGTGCCACGGTGCAGTGGCGGATGCAGAATTAAAATAAAGATGGGGCGAAGATGCTCGTCTCAATAAGAACAACTAAACGTAAAAAATACCATATTTATGTTTGACGGAGCTCGTGGCCCCTCACCGGGAGACTGCGCAAGCCCCCCTTTGCCGGTTCGACCAGGGGCTTAGGGTGCAATCCCAAGCTCTCTCTCTCTCTGTATGTGGAAAGATCACCCGCCCGCAAGACACACGAGACACGGCGATGTATACAGGTTCAGGCCGCTGCGAAGCGTAATACCCTACTCCTGTGTTTTTGTGGATTTGTGTATGGACAAGTTACAAAGGATTCACTTCCTTTCCCCTCCCTTGTTCTAGGGAAAAAGTCCCTTCTAAATGGGCAAGGTCCTCCTTTTATATCTCAAGGGGATACCACATGCACCTTTCTCTTTCCAAACTGGACTGTTCTTTTTCTCTTTAATGGGCGGAGATCGGTACGGTTTCCATCCGGGAGCCCTTCTGATGGGACAGCCCACACCTACCCCCACCTCCCCCGAAGACAGAGATGACGCGGGACCGTGGCTGTCTGTCGATGACGCGACCGGTGCCAGACCGGTCATTCTTGTCCACCACGCGTCAGCTTAACAACGTGCATGTTTGCCCTTCTTCGTGTAACACCTTGCCTGTAATGGTTAGGATGAAGCCTGGTATAAATCTGACCAGGGCTAACGTGCCATCTCTAAGAGATAACACGCTAGCTCCGGCTTGAGACGAGTGCCTAGAGGCTTTCGTCTTGACGGGATGGGGCAAGGCGTGCGTCAGACCGCCAGTCGCCACCTAACCCGTGATCTGACCGGTCTGTGACTGGTCACAGACCGGATAAAGGAACGCGCTGTACTGCGTTGCATGCAGCGTGACACGCTTGACCAGACTGCAATAAATGCTGTTAGGTGAGCACAGCTGTGCTCACTTATCCCATATATGTGGCGCAGACTTCCTTAAGGGGTCGGGGTGCCTCGGCCCTCGGGGCCGGGGCAAGCGCAACCCGACCCCCCCTCGGGGGAAATCAGGAGGAGGGCGGACACCTCACCCTCGGGCCCGACGTCCCCGAAGGTGCCAGGCCACGTGGGCGATTGTGTCTGCCTCAAGCCTCTAGTCATGATACTCCCGGTCCCATATCACCGACAGTAGCCCCCGGTGTTATGCCAGAGCAATTTCCCTTCCCAAGGGAAGCGGTCAGGTGTGACGCCACCCCTAAAGCCTGGTGACAGGTGGGACCGGTCTCCGTAGTTGGGCAAAATACCCAACGGTCTCAATCCATGCACATTGGTATTGGTAACTTTGGTTGTCCATAATGGGCGGTCTATTCAAGACTGCCACACCACTTGAGCAGCGCGCGAATCTGGGTGAGCAGATTTGTCTCGCCCGGAGATACGGTAACGCCGCTTCGGTCGGCGAGCGTAATTAACGCGCGCACGATACAATCCATTTCGATTGCCACAACCGCATATCCACTTCATGCGCCGTAAGCGGGCGAATGGGATTAGTGGAAGCGTGGGCACGGGAAACGAGGGAGCGAGATAGCGAGATACGAGGGAGCGAGGTAGTGGGCGCGAGAAACGAGGAGCCAGGCCCAGCGATGGCAAGGGTATAAAAGCATCGAGAAAAGGATTTGCTTCCTTCCTTTCGCCATTGTTCCTCTTGCCTTCGCCGCCTGAGCTCTAACTCTTTCTCTGCTACGCCCTACTTTCGCCACACGCGCTCGTTCTCAATCATCTCTTCCTCCACCGCCATGGCACGGGGCTCTGCTCTGCTCGATGGCAGTGTACTACCGCCTTCCCGCATCGTGAGCGAGAGGCACGCCGGACTGCCGCGCCGCTTCATGCCGGAGTCCGCCACCGGTCGGGAGATAGTGATGCTAGGCGAGGGGCGCCCGGCACCAGACTACCCGGGGCGGTCCATCTTCTTCCTCCCCTTCGCAATGGCTGGGCTGGTCCCGCCATTTTCTTCTTTCTTCATGGATGTCCTGGAGTTCTACGATCTCCAGATGGCGCACCTCACCCCCAATGCGGTGATGACATTGGCCATCTTCGCGCACCTGTGCGAGATGTTCATTGGGGTGCGCCCCTCTCTTCAGCTGTTCCGGTGGTTCTTCACCGTGCAGTCGGTGTCACCGCCGTCGGTGGTTGGCGGCTGCTACTTCCAGCCGCGGGGGCCGGTGTTGAACCGCTACATCCCCTGCGTCCTCCGCAAGAAGTGGGACGACTGGAAGAGCGACTGGTTCTACACCCCCCTCGCCAACGAAGCGCGCCTCCGACTTCCAAGTCAGCCCCCGGCGCAGGTCTCCAGCTGGCGGGCGCCGGTAGATCTGGGGGAGGACTACGACGCCGTCCTCGACCGCCTGGCGGGCCTGCGATCCCAGGGGCTCACCGGGGCCATGGTGTACGGCGATTACCTCCGTCGCCGGATTGCGCCGCTCCAACAGCGCGCCCGGAGCGCCTGGGAGTACACTGGGCCTGAAGACTACATGCGGACCCACCAGGGAGCCAGATGGGATTGGGCTCCCGAGGACTTCAAGATCGTGGTCCAAAGGGTGCTGAATCTTAGCTCCGTGGAGGCGTCTCGCATTCCTCAGGAGATCCTCCCCCTCTGCAGCGATCCCGACCGCGCCTCCATTCTAACCATTATGATGGGGGTCGGGGCCTCAGAGGAGAGAGCCCCTAAGGGCCACGACGGCGCGGGCGAGCGCCGCCGGGGGGAACAATCTGCCCCAGGAGGGGGTCGTGCTTCTGGGCCCCGCGTCGGGGGCTCGGGGAGCAGCCGCCCTGCCGACGCCCAGGGGAAGAGGAAGCTGGGAGGAACACCTCCCCCATCTCCTCCCCGAGGGGGCGGGGCGGCGCGTGCCAGCAGTCGGCGCCCGGAGGGGGCCGCGCCGACGTCGCAGCCCGAGGGGGAGCGCAAGAAGAAACGGCTCCGCAAGACGGGGGAGACGGAACCATGCCGGGGAAACCTGATTTCCCCTCCAAGGTGGTCATTCAACCGACCCCCTCGCAGGTTCGTCTCACTCTCATTGCAACCATCTTTCTCCCAAAAGGAAGTTTTTTCTTACTCATTTTGTTCGTCTTCTGGTTTTTTCTTCTGCTTCAGCGATGTCCCGTCGCATTCCTCCCGCCACCCCAAGTCCGGCCAGTCCGAGGCCGAAGATCCAGCGGCCGCAGAGGAGCGGAGGCGAGAATCTGACCGGCGTGAAGCCGCAGACCGCCTTCGGGAAGCTGAAGAGGCCGCCCGGGAGGCCGCCCGGATTCGCCAAGCGGAGGAAGCTGCTCGGGAGGAGGCCGCCCGGGCTGAGGAAGCCGCTAAGGAGGAGGCCGCCCGGGCTCGCCAGGCTGAGGCAACAGCTGCTGCTGGCGCGTCAACTGGGCCCACTCCTTCGGGCAACCCTCAGGCGACAGCCTCCGGGGAGGCTCGCGACGAGGCCGCGGGCACATCGCCTGGGCCCACCTCCCCGGGCGACGCCCAGGATCAAACGGGTCCGGGGGACATCCCCGAGCCCAGCACGTCCTCCGGGGGGCCGAGCCGCATCGCCTTCTCTCCAAGGCGGCTCTTCTCCTCATCTTCCGTCGCCCCGCTGAGCGCCGAGCCCATTCTGCAGGCCTTGGCCGCCGCAAACACCGCGGTGCTGGATGGGTTTAGCGCCCAAGTGGAGGCCCTGCGCGCGGAACGAGCGGAGCTCGAGGCCGCATGGGCACGCGTTGAGGAGGGGCGGCGCTCGGTGGACGCCATGGTGGAGGTGGGCCGTAAAGCCCACCGCCGTCACGTCTCGGAGCTTGAAGCCCGGAAGGCGGCGCTGACGGAGATCGCTCGTGAGGTGGAGGAGGAGCGAGCGGCCGCCCTCATCGCTACCACCACGATGATTGAGGCGCAAGACGCCCTCCGCCTTCAAAACGCCAGCCGGGAGGCGGAGCTGAAAGAAAAGCTCGACGCCGCCCAGGGAGTCCTTGACTCCGCCGCTGCTTGAGAGCGGCGGGTAACAGAGACTGAGGCGGCGTCCCGGCGGCGCGAGGAGTCCCTTGAGGCCCGTGCTATGGCGCTGGAAGAACACGCCGGCGCCGTGGAGAAAGGCTTGACGGGCCGCGAGGCCGCCGCTACTCTCCGGGAGGCGACGCTGGCGGCGCACGAGGCCGCCTGTGCCGAGGAGGAGTGCGCGCTCCGCCTCCGCGAGGACGCACTCGCTGAGCGGGAGCGAGCTCTCGAGGAGGCTGAGGCCACGACCAAACGGCTGGCGGACAGCCTGTCCCTTCGCGAGGCGGCGCAGGAGGAGCAGGCGCGCCGCAATCTTGAATGCGTCCGCGCCGAGAGAGCCGCACTGGAGCAGCGGGCTGCTGACCTCGAGGCGCGGGAAAAGGAGCTGGACGCGAGGGCGCATATCGGTGGGGCGGCCGCGGGCGAAAGCGACTTAGCCGCCCGCCTCGCAGCTGCCGAACACACCGTCGCCGATATGCAGCGAGCGCTAGACTCCTCCACCGGGGAGGCCGAGGCCCTTCGCTTGGCGGGCGAGATTGGGCCCGACATG